AAAAATCAATTTAAAAAAATTGGCAGAATTCGCGATTATTGTCATTTCGTTAATTAGCAATTTTGATGCTACAAATATTTAACACCACGAACTTTGATCAATAGACATCAATCGCACGATGATTCTTACGACTATGAATGAGAACAGGCTTCGGAAAAAGGTAAATTTTATCTAGGTGCTCCCTCTGACGCCCCTAATTCATCGCAATTCATCGGGAATGCACTTTCGCAGGTGACGCCTTTCACCTCAAAATCAAGCATGAAATCCAAAGGAAAATCTAAACACCACCCGAACCTATTTGAGCCGCGACAAAGACACATCTTTAACCCGATTCACCTGAATTCATCATGGAATATGTCTCAGAGAAAAGAGGAGTAAGATTCCTATTCATGACATTTGAAAAGAGGACTAAAAGGCAGTCAATCTGGGTGCCGCTAGTCATGAAGTCTGGCAAAAGGCGGGGCAGGGTTGCCAATTGTTGCACAAATACAAGAATTTTCAAGCCTAGAACTATGGAAACGCTACAAAAACGTACAGCGCTTTGTACTTCGAAACAATAAAACTCCAGAATGATGAAGTAATGAAGTGCTCGTTGCTTTGTCTTACTATAACACTTTTTTATTCCGTCTCCATACAAATCGGCGCCATGGCTAAAAGCAAAATCGGCCCACGATAATGACTTACCGTGGCCATTCTGTGAAAATCAGGACTTCATCCATTCAGGAAAACTGGCTCCAATCACCTAAAATCTAGCAAATAAAGTCGGTTGCTCGAGGTGGATTCGTATTAGAGGATGGTATATGAAACATCATGTGGAAACGACACCGGTCCATTCACGCTTCCTTTTGTATTTTTACCGAAAGAAAATATTTTGCGACATCCAGATATATACACATATGATAGTTTCTCTGTGATGTGCTACCTCCAACCAGACCTCGAGCAGAAAGTAACGCTTCAAAACTCTTGCGTTGAAGAAGTGCTCGCTCCCCATTGAAGAGTATAGGTCCCAATGGAAATGATGCACTATTCCCTCGAGAGGTGAGAATGAAACAAGAGGTGCGCATGACCTCAGTGAAGAAAAAATTGAAAAGAATTCTAAAAACAGTAAAAGTGAAGATCTCAACAGACAGCGCGGCGCGGAGAGGAACATGCGAGAGAACACTTTGTATGAGCGGGTGTAGACACTAAGTGTGCCACGAACGAGTAAAATGGTAGCGGTCGCAACAGTCAAGGTTGTGGCTTAGCGCCCTTGTGGCGCACACACGAGTCAGGACAGTGCAATGACTTATGTGCGTAGTGTCTTGCTACCTCACTCACGAAGAGAATTGCTTCAAGGATTTAATCAAGAGTTTCAATAACAATAACAACATTAAAAACTTGTCTAATATGAATGTACCAATAATTTACGCCATACCTAAATTACATAAATCACCTATCAAATTCCCTCTATTAGCTGATCTCACATTATCATACTTTGAATATATCTACTCACTTACTCATAACAGTACAAAAAACCTACAACTTAGACCTTTCAGATATATGGATGATATCCTTGTAGTACACAATCTAGATACACAAACTGTTCTAAATAAACTAAACCAAATATACACAAATATTAGGTCGGTCCATAATTTTTGAGAACCTTTGGTGTTTTTCGATTAATTACTTATCTTATTTCTCTGATGTATTTATTCAGCATAGTATACATCACCATTATTACCAACATATAACCAATGCGAGGGTGGGTATTCAGTGTCTCTCTTGTAGAATTTCATAGAGTTCTGATCGAAGAAATATTGGATGTCGATTTTGACTTTATGGTGATTCAAGTGAGATTTCTTCTCCAGAAGGTGATTGAGAGAGGAGAGCGGATAGTCGTTCGTTGACGCAGGATTAGTGCTACAAGGCGGAGCTAAAAGAACTGACCGCCCGAGAGTCTCCAATTTTTTAGGAATTTTCTTAGCAAGGCGGGCTCGAACGACCTCAGAAAAAAATAGATTTTGTCTTCCTTTGCTTTCAAGTTGAAGGCGTTGCCATCAAGCTGTCAACGATTCTTCCCATCACTGACACTGGTATTAGTTGATGCCGGTCTTCAGCGCAAAGGCCCTCCCGTATTGCGCCAACGACTCAGGAAGTTCGAATTCAGAGGGAGTTGGGTTTTTACTGTCAGAACTCCCGAATCGTTTGAGCAAATCTACTGCGGCTCGTGGATTTGTTAGCACACTGCACCCAGTCCACATCACCAATGAGTATTATAGATGGTCATCCGAAGGAACTATGGGAAACCAACAGGAACATGATGTCGGATTCAAATTTAACTTCGTATCAGAAATCTATACGAATATCGAGAGAGGGCACTATACTCACTGCCCGCAGGTGAATATGTTGTTAAGAAAAGATATAATACTAGCGCTGATACAGTAAATCAGCAAAATACGCCCTAAGCCAATCGAACGAAAACATCAACAGGTCTCAAAATTGTGGACCGACCTAATACACAATACGATAAACGCTTTCCAAACTCAACAACAAATATTTCGTCTCACATTAAACACAATACGATTTATTCCGAAATTTTAAGAATAGCTCGAACATGCTCCAATAAAAAGGATTTCATAAGTAGGTTAAAATATACTAGAAACCAATTAAACGAATCTGGATATAGTACAGATATCTTTATTATCAATCTGATAAAGTGCTCTGCTAAAAACACTTTTATAAAATATAAATATGAACTAAAAATGGACGATTTACTAGAGTTTCTTCGAAAACTTGATGACCCTTGAAAAGAAAATGAATGCATCAGTAGAGAATGATAAACAATGATAAATTCTCACGACTCGTATATATCACGACTAGCCTCTCATTTTATATCTATCGACTATTCGAGGAGGCAGGACAAGAGGTGAGTTCAATTTTCTATACAATTACATTGAATAGGAAATAAACTCTTTCACTTTTTCATAAAAAACTTTAATTATATGTTAGATAAATCTAACTGACTTGAAAAAGTTAACTAATTGTGGCGATTAAACCTAAATTAACCCAAATATCAATAATTCTTTTACGAGCAACTACCCCTTTTGAAACCCTTTATTCATTAATACTCGCACTAATAAAGCCAAATTCTTGTCACTCCTCTCCTCTACCGATGACTAAATAACCAAGACAGAGGAACTCTTTTCGTCTAGCTCTCTCGTCTAAGCGGCCAACTGCGCAAAACGTGACTAAACTACTCTTTGAGTCCCACACCCTGAATAAATTTTGAATAAAGCGCACATAAAATTATTGATCGGAAAACAAAAACAAAAACAATTTTCATTTCACAAATAGAACAGTTTGCGCTGCCAGCGTAATCCACCACGGCATACGTGGTCTCTGCGTCCTCTCGCGTACGACGTACTATCTCGCGTTCTCCCTCTCCTCGCAGCGCTGTGTCTCTCCGTCGTACTACGGCCGGCCTCCTAAGGGAAATTTAGTGTTTTCTATGGTGCTTTTTGCTTTTTCTCCTCACTAATGTTCCTCATTGCACTCTTGTACGTAATAACTCGTCTAGTATACAAATATACGCATCAATTCAATCCTGACTCTGCCTTGAGACTACTATCTGGACTCTAATGGCTTCAGGCTCTTGAAGGCATCTGACTTGATTAATAAGATTAATGGTTTTTTATATGCGGGCAGCGCGGCGAGCAGGCCTTAGCGCCATTGCCGCGCACTTTTGGGTCGCGAGATACACTGTCCCGCCACTCAGCGGCTTGGTTCTTTTTCAACTTACTCACCGCCCTCAGTGCTTGGGGAGCCCACTATCACAAACTGGGAAGAACCTCTGCTGGTTGCCTAATCCTGACTCGTGGCTTTAATCGAAAAAGCCATGAAAATGATGACTTTCACATGGGTATCAGATAAATACAAATCTGGAGAAAAGATCTATCTCACATCATCGTGAACTAAACTCCGCAAAGGTGCAACAACAAGCAGAAAAACTACGGTAATATCATTGGGTACGGTAACCACAATCACTATCAGGAAGTATGAACATACGAAGCGTGCTCCCAATAGTAACTTTATGATTTCCAGTTCAGTATAAAATTAAGACATTCAAGCCTTCTCCCGACATTTAGTATTTTCAGCTTTCGGAATTTTGTTCTTGTTCATTTACTACGAGAAGTCCGCCCACCCGAGGTATGATGGCGGCGCTCGCTCGTTACCAGCCCACGCGACCAAAAATCAAACAAGGCCGCCTCTTAAAGGCAACGATTACGATAGCTTCTAGAAGGGTTTAGAGGAGACGTGGTGGTGCTCAATGGTACGCCAGTGGCAAAAAAGCAGAGAAATCCGTCAAGAAAACGCAAAACGGGACCCCTTTTTGGCCGTTGGTTTTCACTCATGAACAGGTAACAGCTCAGAAAGCGGACGTATGAACGAGTTCACGCAACGCGTTTGGTGGCACCATGCCAACCACGCTCAATCGAGTTGCTCCAGTTGTGCCGCTGCTGGCAACGCAGCTCGTCCAAATCACCAACTAAACTAGTGGGCGGATCGCTTTTGGGGGCGGAGTGCTTTCGAAGTCCTGCTCAGCAACCAGCGCACCTTTCGTCGTGAAAGCGCCACACCTCGCTTCCTTGGCAGCCAAGTAACTGCTTCGTGTGGTGCATATGCTTCCCGATGCGCCCCTCCTTATCGTAATCGCTTCCTTTTTAGTAGGGGAGAAACAAAGTGCTGAGGTTCACAAGGATAGAGATGAAGAAGACGAAGACGGGAGACGTAGCTAACACTGGGTGGGGGGAGGGAAAGGGGCGAAGGCGTTTGAATGCTGACGTTGTCGTTCCTTATCGACCTTATTCTGCGATGCTCAGAAATTGTATTCTATAATAACATCTTTTCACTGTCGTGGGACATTCCACGAAGATGTCGCAAATGTGCCTCAAGCAGTACGCAGAGAGCATTGACTTTTCCTCGTGAAAAGAGAAACACTGTCTTCGACCTCTCTTCATAGGTACAATTTCGATTGAATAAACGGTCTATCGCGAAATGTGAGTACAATTAAGCGTGCTTTTGAAGCGCTTAGCTCATAGCGAAAAGTGACTAAAAACATGCGAACAAAAATGTTCATAATTAACGAATGACGCCTAAAGGGAGAGGTTCTCTCATGAGGTAGCTGCTCACGCCTCGCTCCACAAATAGCAAGTATCAGATTTATTTAGAAGGACACTGAATCAAATATACGTGTTTTGAAATGCCATATGGGGTGCAGTACGCATAAGCAAGTAATAAAGTATTTATGGCGCAGAAGCCGCAAGGCAAAATGATGGTCCAGAAGTACTGGATTCGTATTGTAACAACGGAAGCGGTGTAGCGACAAGTGACGCTGCTAACCACGCACCGTGTAGGGATTGTCAAATCCTGGGCCATGCGCCGTCCAGGTTGCGTAGCGAGGTAAGGAGGGTCCGTCGCACTAGCCGAAAAAGGAGAGACACAGCACGGGTCAGCGGCGTACGGAGAAGCAGGTTCGCTAGCTGTAGCGATGTTAGCTGTCAAGCTTAGATGAGGAATGCTTTACGAGTACATAGAACATGGCGCCACCGGTACGCGCTGCGACTCCTTCACTGACCCGTCTGCGTCTCTGCCATTTCGCTGCACGAGGGGAAACCTGTCGGGTACCTGTCCAGGTTAGTCCCAGAAGAGAGAAA